CCGCCCCCCACCCCCATTCCCTGGAACTCATTTGCAGGCCAAGGGCCCCCCTCCTCAGGCACCACCGGTTGAGGCCCCTCACTTTGTGCAAGTCCCTTGCCCTGTAGGACACAGGATCCAGCCCCAGCGTGCATCATGCATGGGGAGGCGACCCGGACACGGGGCAAGGGCCCCAGACAGACAGAAAACCAAGGAACCGTCGTCCCAGACCGACATGCAAGACGTGGAGAGGGCCCCGGCCGGCGTGGCTCAGTGGCTGAGCGTCGACCTAGGAACCAGGAGGTCACGGTTCGATTCCCGGTCAAGGGCACACGCCCGGGTTGCGGGCTCCATCCCCAGTGGGGGGCCTGTAGGAGGCAGCCGATGGATGGTTCTCTCTCATCATGGATGTTTCCCTCTCTCTTTCCCTCTCAAATCAAAATATATATATATATTTTTAAAAAACACGTTTTTTAAATGTAAGAAGAGCCTCCTCACATTTCCTCAGCTAAAGCAAGTCTCGGACACGCTTGACGGTTTCCCTGCAAACACAGTATCGGAGGGACCGGGCTTATCACAAAGGCACACGCGTGACAGACGTCACTCAACGAGGGAACTGTGTGCCCGTGTCCCTTCCGGGAGCTCCGGCAGCACCGGCCTGGCCCCCAAGGAGCCTGTCCCCGCCCCGGGGACAGCTGTGGTCAGCTCTATCTCAGTGCCTGGGCCCCGCCCCCCCCCCCAACCGCCTCTGACCTCCTCTCGGACTCCTCGGCCATCTTCAGCGCCAGCACCTCGGCCTCCAGCACCTTCTGCTCCATCACACGATTCTCCTCCTCCGTCCGGATGGCCGTGGCCTTGATGCGCTGCATCTCCTGCTCGGCCTCCGCAGCCTTCTGCGCCAGGAGCTTCGCCTCCTCCTCGGTGATTTGGGCCTTTTCCGCCAGCAGGTCGGCCGTCTCCTCCGACCGCATCTGGAGAGGAGGGCGCCGTGAGCGGGGGCCGGCGGGGATCCCCTGCCCGTTCTCCCACGAGATCGGAGCCCGGGCCCTCGGGTCGGCAAGAGCCCGAGTCTCGGACTCCTTGCGGCCCTGCCACCGAGTGTCCCCTCGGACGGACGGCAAGCCACACCCTCCTCGTCTCAGAAGGGCCTGTGGGGTCCCACCCGCGGGAGCAACACGGAGGCGCCTGACGGTGAGTCCCCACAGAACCGAGGCTGGGGGAGGGGGAAAACCAACTTCACCCCGTTCTCCTTTCCCTTTAAATCAGCTCCCAACCAGGGGAGACCCTGCCCCTGGGGGGACACCTAACGATGTGTGGAGACCTTTTCGATTGTCTCAAATGAGGGGTAAGAGGGTGCGACCAGCATCGGATGGATCGAGGCCAGGGACACCACTAAACGCCCTTCAGTGACAGGCAGACCCCACCAAGGACGACCTGGCCCCAGGGTCGGTCCTGCCGAAGCTGAGCCCCGCTTTAAAGGTACCCCACGAACCGGGGAACTTATCTGCATCTATGCACAGCCCCCGGACACAGACAACAGAGTGGTGAAGGCCTGGGAGGGGCGGGGGCGGGGGCGGGGTGCAGGGGGTCAATGGGACAAGCAAACAGACAGATGTCCGGGTTGCGAACATCTGTAATACTTTCAGCAACAAAGATAC